AGATTAAACTTGGCTAATGAGTGTTACAATCTGGCCCAGAATCTTGTCTTTTTTCTGCTGTCTGAAAATTAAAAATTACAAGGGTAGTACTGAAACTCAAGAGCAACAATTCTCCCAGCATTCTGGGAGTTTGAAAATTCCCCTTCTGTAAAATTCCATTCCAGCCATCTGAAGACACTGATGCACTGCTTTCTGAATTGCCTCCCTTGCCTGCGTTGTCCACGCAGCTGATCCTTCACAAATCTGAAAAGACGGTAGTTGGAGGGTGCAAGATCAGGGCTATAGGAGGGGTGTGGAAGAACTTCCCACCCCATGTTTGCAATTGCTTCCAAAGTGAGGCGAGCAGCGTGGGGGCACGCATTGTCATGCAGGATGATGATGTTTCATCCCAGACGTTTATCATTCAATGCATGACGGAGCTTGTGCAGCATCTGGACATAACGAGCAGCATTGATGGTTTGCCCAGGTTCCACGAATTTGGCCAGAATAAACCCCTCTGCATCCGAGAAGACTGTGCCCATCATCTTCACAGCTGATGGCACTGTCTTTGCCTTCTTTTTTGATGGAGAATGCAAATGGTGCCATTCCATGCTCTGCCGTTTCGTTTCAGGCTCAAAATGGTGAAACTAGCTTTTGTCACCTGTCACAATACAATCATCACCTTTGTGTCAATACCTCTGGATCAGTTCTGAGGTGATGGCTTTTCGCTGACCTTTGTGGTCTTCGGTCAATACCGCAGGACCCAACAAGCACAAACTTTCCTATAGCCCAAGCTTTCAATCATCTCCTGTACTGCACTGTGCCCTATTCCAAGTTTTCGGGCTATTGTGTCCACAGTCACACGCCTGTCATCTTGAATGATCTCATCTACTCTTTCCTTGTTGTGTTCAGCTGAGGCTGTTCGAGGACAACCGCTCCAAGGCTCATCTTCGATGATGATGTTCCCATCTTTAAAATGTTTCACCTATCTTCAAACACTGCTTGCACCCATGCACACACTTCCATAAGCATGCTGAAGTCTCTGGTGAATTTCTGCAGCAGGGATTTCCTCTTTCACGAGAAATTTGATGACGGCACACTGGCGAAAAGACATATCATTGTTGGCCATTTTGTTAGGAGTGATACTGGTCACGTGATGCAAGCTATTGATGTCAAAAGACACTCAAGGTTAACACAACAGCTGGTTCCACCTACCACCATACTCTCTTTCGTCTGCTGTTCCCAGGTTGCATGCAAAAAAAAAGTTGCTCATGATTTCTGGTACGACCTACATAAAATATTCAAAACCATAATTTCGTCTGTGGTTCTGTATCAGTGTGAAACTTGGCCTCTGACAATAAGGGAGAAACATAGACTGAGGGTGTTTCAGAGCAGGGTGTTGAGGAGAATATTTAGAATGAAGAGAGATGAAGTAATAGGAAGTTGGAGAAACCTGCATAATGAGGAGCTTCATAACTTTTACTCTTCATTAAGTATAATTAGAATGATTACATCACAGAGGTTGATATGAGCAGGGCTTGTAGCATGACTGAGGGAGAACATGCAGACACTTTTAGCCAGCAGCTCAGTGTTTAGAACACCAACGTTAGGCCCTCAGAGTCATCTGAATTACATTTGAAAATTCAGTCCATACCTCTGAGGAAAAACATACCATCTCTGCTATAAAGCCCAACTGGTTAATGCTGTTTAGGGAAACAGTCGCTATTTATTGTGAGAATCATACAGAACACATAAATACACTGTGTGGGCAGAATGCAGAGTTCAGTTCATACCTCACAGGAAACACATTAAATCTCCGGTACAGAGACCAACCAGTTAATGCTGTTTAGGGAAACAGCCGCTGTTTACTGTGAGAACAATATGGAACACATAAATACACTGTGGGGAAAATGAAGAGACTCTGAATGTTACAGCACGTGGTACTTATAGTAACCACTGGGCATTAAAGGGCTACGAGAATTCCCAGTTTTAGCCAGTGCAAACGGAACAGTTTTGAGTTGCACTTATGTTGTAGTCTGTACTACTATTTGAGAGGTGCTTGGCTCGAATCCTGACTGACTGTTTTGTGATAATACCTCGAGTAGGCCATGATTACGTCCCTCGAAATTCTTTCCCATTATAATCATTCATTGATCATCCTACCATTCCATGCTATATAGTGTACCTACTGAGAGAATTATGTATTATTAATAATCATCATAATCATAGGAAGAAAGAAGAAAGTACCTGGTGAAAACGTAGCAGCCAAAGAACTGATTACCAACACCTTCATTGTACATCCTCTTCATGAATTGTCCAACACATTCCTTCTGCAAGACACAGTCCTTGTAGCTGCCAAATATCATGGTTGGCTTTGAATGTGGCACACCTCGCCTTTGCGAGTAACTACACTTGTACCGGAAATACAACCAGATGAGTAAGAGGAGACTGGACACGTACAGAATGGTGCCCTCCAGCAGAGAGTTACCCAGCAACGCCATTTTCTGTAACAGTCAGAAATCATTTTTTTTTTTCCCCCATATTTTACCAAGCCTTGCATTTAACACTTTATTCGCCACAATGTTACTTAGTGGGGTAAGACAGAGTTCACATGGTATTGTAGCCACGCCTGGTGTATTGTACCAGCCCCGGATGATATATGATGGTGATTGTGGAGCAATTGGTGGTACGAATATTGGCTGGGAAAACCGAAGTATTCAGAGAAAACTTGCCCCAGCGCCACTTTGTCCACCACAAATCCCACATGACAAGACTTAGGAGCGGAGGGAAGTCAGCAACTAATCGCTGAGCTACAGCGCAGCTGTAATGTTACATGCGTCAGGTTGCAGTGGTAGTTGATGGGCAAGGCAGTCCCCAATCCTCAGAACATTTTATTACTCCTTCGAGGCATTAGAAATGGAGCTGGGGTGAGGAGGATGTACTACGCCGACATTTTAGAGTTTCGTTGTTATCCGCGACATGAACAATACCGAACAGTCTGAACAGTGCTCAGGGAAAGTCTATTAACCCTTATTTTTCTAATTAATATATATATATATCTTTTTTTTCATTGGCGCTACAGCCCTCATTTGGGCCTAGGCCTACCTCCATGAAACTCTCTGTTCACTTCGGTTTTACTAGATCTTAGACATATAGTAGGACTCCTTGGGCGGGTGGTCAGCTCGTCGAAAGGCCTCTACCTGTACACAAACACAGAAAAAGGCACACAAATATCCATGCCCTGAGTGGGATTCGAACCCACGATCCCGGCTTCCGAGCGAGCGAAGACAGTGCATGCCTTAGACCGCTCGGGTACCGTGACCGGCAATTAATATATATATATACAGTTCGTACCTCACAGGAAACACATTATGTCTCTGCTACAAAGCCAAACTGGTTAATGCTCTTTAGGGAAACAATTGCCGTTTATTGTGAGAACCATAGGGACCACAAATACACTGTGTGGGCAGAATGCAGAGTTCAGTTTGCACCTCTCAGGAAACACATTACGTCTCCGCTACAAAGCCCAACCAGTTAATGCTGTTTATTGTGAGAACCATATGGAACACACAAATACACTGTGTGGGCAGAATGCAGAGTTCAGTTCGCACCTCACAGGAAACACATTACGTCTCCACTACAAAGCCCAACCGGTTAATGTTGTCTATGGAAACAGTCGCTGTTTACTGTGAGAACCATACAGAACACACAAATACACTGTGTGGGCAGATGCACAGTTCTGCAATGTTAAAGCCGGTGGTGCATGCAATAACCACTGGGCTTTAGTCGGTTTATATGTTGATATGCAACGAAATAACTACAAGTCAGACTACGGCCGTAGACTGCAGGACAAGGACCAATGTGCGTGGATGCAATGGAAAGCCACCTTGTTTTAAATTAAATGATGATAAAGTTGTCTGAAGGATGTGTTAGCTTCCAAGTTTGGTTTATTAACAAGCAACAGGCCCCAGAGCCGGTCTGGACATTGTGGAGAAGAGGAAAATATCTTTCACCTGCAGGGAATCGAACCACGACTCTTGCATATTTCCTCTCCGAAGTCAAACATCTCATTTACAGTTTGAACATGAAATATGCCAGATCTGCAGCTACTCAAGAATTTGCCAGTATTTCAGGGAACCTGAAGGTTCATTACCGTGTTCACAAGAGCCCTCCACTGGTACCTATCCTCAGCCAGATCAGTGCTTCATCAAACTGCAAAATCCACATTCTGATAGTAATGACTGTACCTATTTCACGTGTCAGATGATGCACTAATATATCCTATAACAAGGCTGCGAGTGGTCTGAGGAAGACGCACAGTAATCAATCTACGGAACTGCTTTCCGTGCTCTTGGAATAGTTAATCGATATGACTGTAATGCCATGAATTTGTAAAAAGTCTGCTGCAGCTACCAAACATTATGAAACTATTTCCATAACTTGGATGCAGAGATAAAGCTTGAAATTGTATTACTCACTAAACTGCATACAGATACCAAATTTTTCTTCAACTTATTTATACCCATAGTCCATATGTCTCTATCTCATGTGGTGTCATGATTTCTTATAAACATTCACTACAGCATGCTTTAAATCATATTCAACAGTCAAGGCAGAAAATAAAGCAGGTTTACTTAATGATGCTGTCAGTAACTCAGACTATACAGTGTCAGTCAAATCACAGGGTGATCAGTGAACAACGAAGTTGAAAGGACATGCAAAAGGTAACAGTGGTCTAATCTGAGGTACCGGACGCAAGTTACTGGTCAGTGTCACATCCCCACACACTTCCATCTACAGGCAAGAGATCTCCAGTATCCACTGGATGGTTCTAGAGTGTCTTGACACAGTGATGAGAAAAATGCTGCCCCCACCGGGAATCAAAACATTAATCAAGTTGTCCATCCCCATAACATTATAGTCACTGAGGTACTTGGACCATTTTTGATACAATGAATAAAGCTTTCCCTTTAACAGGTCGTAAAGGTCCATAGGGTTGTGAGATGTTGAGGCTCCCACATTTTCCTTAGACGATCAGCTCAAATACGTCAGTAAAGTTGTCAGCCTTATGCACCCGCCACCTTTACCCCCCAGGAAGATTCCTGATACTCATTTCTGTTAGAGGTTGAGTCAACTCCAGGGCCATAGTGTGGCTGGAAGGATTAGGTCAATTGAAAAAATCCACCTCATCAGGACTCAAACCCACAACCAACTGGCTTGCAGCATAGTGCCTCAACTAACTATAATACTGTGGGCCCCCCAACACAATGAATAAACTTTTTTTTAACATTTACACAAACAAACCACTCAACAGCACAAAACACTTACAGAACCAAACATTCCAGCTCCAAGTATTCTTCCTCCGTTGTTCCCTAGTGGCAGCTTACTAAAACAGTCTGTGAAACGTTCCAACTCTGAATACTGCAGGTGTGGCAACATTGTATCTAGATGAAGAGAGACATTCCTGCAGCAACAAAAATTCATGAACATCAATTCTAAACCAGTTCTGACAACACATCATTACAGCCTTGTGGTTCTGTAATGAGATTTTTAACAGGCATTCCTATAGAATAACACTTTCATCCCAGTGTGTGATATTTTGAACGAAAGACAGGTTATTCCATGTGAAATTATATTTTCTGAAGGTTATCTATCTATGTATCATTACTGGTTTTCTTTCATATTTCCTTGCACGGTTTCTCAATGAGATAAAAACACATTCTCTGGGGTGTGTTCTAATTCTATAACCCCTTCCAAATCTGCACAGGGTAAACACATCCAATTTCACGACACAGACACCTTCATGGTATGACACTTCAAAATTCACCATAAAATTAAGTACGTATTTCCCCATTACTTTTAGAAGTTCTCCACAGATAGCTCCAGGGGCATGCGGTAGTGTAGTTCGTTCAGGCACTATGCTACAAGACAGAAGGTCATGGGTTCAATTCCCAAAGACGTCACTGGATTTTTCAATTGACCCAATCCTTCCAGCCACACTATGGCCCTGGGGTCGACTTAGCCTCTAACAGAAATGAGTACCAGGAATCTTCCTGGGGGATAAAGGGCAGCCAGCGCATAAGGCTGACAACCTCACTGCCATCTGTGAGCCAACTGTCCAGGAAATGTGGAAGCCTCAAGGTCTCACAACCCTATGGGCCTTCATGGCCTGTTACAGGGATAGCTTTACTTAACCTCACAGCCATCTGTAAGCTGACTCTAGAAAATGTGGGAGTCTTGATGTGTCACAACCCAGTGGGCCTCCATTGCCTGTTACAGGGATAGCTCTACTTTTTTTTTTTTAACCTTTACCACAGACAGCTACATAATGGGAAATTAAGCTGAAAGGCAATCTGTGAGCCTGACACTATCATTCTCAGAAATTATATCCCATTCACTTTAGCACATATGTATTAATATTCGGTTTTAAGTGAACAAATGATCTTCTGATGAAATAAACATCAGAATAATGAACACCGATTCTGACTATTTACTAAACAGTAAGGAACATTATCTCCCCAAAGTGTGACGTATACTTTGCAGACTTCTGTCTCTTACCGCAATGTTTCAAGCTGGTCCACCGGTAAAGTCTTCTGTTTCCCCAGCCCATCAGACTCTCCTCTTGGAGTGACACCACAAAATACAGACTGTTCCTCCTGCATCACTTCACCTACTGCCTGAATGCGTGGTCCATCTAGGGATGGCAAGCTGCCATCAGCTTCAGTCATCTCATCAAATGCCCTGTCAATTTCAACTGTGTTATATTGATTGCCAGGTTCTGAGGTTTTCAGTGGCAGATTTGCTAGACGCTTCTCGATGGTTTTTTCAGACACGTCAACTGGTGCAGCTGGGCCAGTCACAGGACACTCAAGAGGTAGTACTGAAAGATATAAGACTGAAATTCCTTATATTGTTAGTTACATTAATAACTAGTGTAATGCCCATTGAAAGACCAACAGAATGTGTCCATACCTACAGATAAAATAGTTTATTTACATCACCAACACAACAGCAACACAAAGCCCACGCTGCAATAATGCAAGTTTATTCCATATACTTGTATATGCTTGTACGAGGAACGCGGTAGTGTAGTTGGTTGACGCACTGTGCTACAAGCTGGAAGGTCATGGGCTCAGGTCCCGATGAGGTCATTGGATTTTTTTCAATTGACCTAATCCTTCCAGCTGCACTGTGGCCTGGGGTCAACTCAGCCTCCAACAGAAATGAGTACCAGGAATATTCTTGGGGATAAAGGGTGGCCAGAGCGAAAGGCTGACAACCTTGCTGCCATCTATGACCCGACTGTCTAGAAAATGTGAGAACCTCAACATCTCACAATGCTATGGGCCTCCATGGCATGTTACAGGGATACCTTTACTTTTTACTTACTTTTACATGTATATGCTTGTACAGGTAAAACTCCTAGGCATACATACTTACATACTGTCTGCCATAAGTTGTGAAAGAATCTCAGAATATTCCATCATATGGTAATGACTTTTACTGCGTGCACAAAATTAGCCTCCTGGGAGAAAACAATTTTTTCATATCGCCATCTGTTAGTCTTATTATTTCATTCCTTTATCTCCTTCCCTCCTTTCACCCATTCCTTTTAGTTATACATCCTCTTAGCGGCCTCCGTAGTCTAGAGGTAACGTTCCCACCTCATTACTCGTAGTACGCGGGTTCAAATACCCGGCGGAGGTCGTCGAATTTTTAAGGGCGGAAAAATTCAGGGAACAAGTCCTCTGGGAGGGACTTTAAGCTGTGCGTCCCGTATCGTAACTTTATGGCACGTAAAAGAACCTCATATCCCCAAAGGGGATCACTGAGCCAAATTCCAGGATGTTTCCCACCCAACAATAGTCTCTAAGGCCTCTGATAGATGGGGGAAGTATTATAGACATGCTAAGCAAGTGGCCGAACTCGCTTGCTTGGCAGGACTGATGGTACGCACCATTTATTGG